GCTGGAGCCTCAAAACTCCACAAAGTAGTTTGTAGAAAAGATTATACGTATCTGTACATATGAATTTAGATGAGAGGATTGAGTCCACCATTAGCAAATTTGCAGATGACACTAAGTTGGGAAGGAGTGTTGATCAGCTTGAAGGCAGGAGGGCTCTGCAGAGGGACCTGGACAGATTGGAGAGTTGGGCTGATTCCAGCGGGATGAGGTTCAACAAGGCCCAGTGCTGAGTTGTGCACTTTGGCCACAACAACTTCCTGCAGCACCACAGGCGGGGGACAGAGTGGCTGGAAAGCAGCCAGGCAGAAAGGGACCTGGGAGTTTGGATCGACAGGAAGCTGAACAGGAGCCAGCAGTGTGCCCAGGTGGCCAAGAAGGCCAATGGCATCCTGGCCTGGATCAGGAACAGTGTGGCCAGCAGGTCCAGGGAAGTGATTCTTCCCCTGTACTCAGCACTGGTGAGGCCACACCTGGAGTGCTGTGTCCAGTTCTGGGCCCCTCGGTTCAGGAAGGACATTGAGGGGCTGGAGCAGGTCCAGAGAAGAGAAACGAGGCTGGTGAAGGGACTCAAGCACAAGTCCTGTGAGGAGAGGCTGAGGGAGCTGGGGTTGTTTAGCCTGGAGAAGAGGAGGCTCAGGGGAGACCTCATCACTGTCTACAACTCCCTGAAAGGAGGTTGTAGCCAGGTGGGGGTTGATCTCTTCTCCCAGGCAGCATCAGTAAGACAAGAGGCCATGGTCTTAAGCTGTGCCAGGGGAGGTTTAGGTTAGATATTAGGAAGAAATTCTTTACAGATAGGGTAATCAGGCATTGGAATGGAGTGCCCAGGAAAGTGGTGGATTCTCTGTCCCTGGAGGTTTTTAAGATGAGACTGGATGTGACACTTAGTGCCATGGTCTAGTAACCACGGCAGTGTTGGATCAAGGGTTGGACTTGATGATCTCAGAGATCCCTTCCAACCAGGCTGATTCTATGATTCTATGAATATGGAATTTTAAACATGTATGTAAACATGGAATCTATAGAAATTCTCTTAAAGCTAGCAAAATATTCCACAAATAGGAATCAAAGCACAAAGTCTGGTTCAACAGTTATATTTATGAATCCTTGGAGACATGTTAACAGTGATCTCTGTTCATTATGTTGGTTCTCTCCTGCTGCCTCTCCAAACTTGGTCATCTCTCCTTCCTTTTGTAGGTGAATGGAGAAAGAGAATTGTATTTTCATTGATTTGTATGTTTGATTCTGCTCTTCTTTTTCTCTTTCTCTTTCCAAATTTAACCTCAAATTCTTTTCTTGTGCTCAGTGATGATTTTTTGGTGAAGCACTGGGCATCAAGATTGCACATTGTGCATATAAGAAGTTATATAAAGTTTAATGCATTTAAATGTTTATTATAACATACTAAACTAACTGAGGCTAAGGACAGAATGATGTGTAACAACTTGGAAAATGTTAACATGCTCACTGGGCTTTACAAAGTAATTCTTGGTAAGATTTACTTTCTTGATAAAGAAGCATCATGCTTTGCCCAAACTTAAACTTGTTCATCCTTGACTTCACACTTGATAAACAAGGAATAAAATATATATTAGGAACAAGAGCACGTTTCAATCCACTGCAAACATAGATCACTAGAGAGAATAAATCATAAGTCAGCCAACTATGTTTTACTCCTCCTGCATCCTCTCCAAGCTCAATTAAGACTCAACATGTTTTTTCTTCTCCCGAGTTCCTTTCATCTGTTCTCCTTCTCGTGTTTCCACGCCTTTCCCCCCCATACTCTTCTTTATCTGATGAGGCTAGTGCTGTAGTATAATGAGGTAATTCCTGTTAGTGTTGGAAGTCCCAGACACCTGGATGACATTTTTTTTTTTAATCCCAGACTGGGTCAGTTAAGACCTTGGGTATTTCAGTGTTATGTGTTCAGGTTAAAGTCAGTCCTTATGGGATGAAGTAAAGTTTCTGTGCATTGCAAAATATGAAAATGTGTATCTCTACATACAGTGGTTTTGGTCTGGAAAACTAGATCTACATGAATGGCTAGAAAATCACCTAGATGTATAAAGAACCAAAGTGTTTTATGTTTGTCTTCATCCTGTCCAACACTTTACAGATGTCTAACCCTTGGCTCTCTTTCCTGGCATGGATGCAGTTCTTGTTTGGCACTGACTCACTCTCCATATGCAGTGAATACTCCCAATCTAGTGAATTTTTAAATGTAACTGCTTTGCATACACTGTGTAAATGAAATATTAACCTCTCCCAGCCTTCCAATTCAGTGCTCTCGCAAAAAAATTCTGCCAAAAATACTGTTCCCAGGACAAATTTTTTTCGACAGAGCCTAATCTAGATTAGGCATCAAACAAAGTAGTTTCCATATTTTTTATTTTATGTAGCCATTAGAATTACATGATTATTTCTTAAAAAAATTTGATTTATTTGGATTCAGTAAAGCTATTATAATGAGCAGAGGGATTAACAATTAAGAGACCTCCAAAAAGGCTAATTACAGGGCCAATAATTTAGCTGACTCTGTGATGATTCAACTCTGATTTCGATTTCTTAAGCTTTTGTGGACTCACTCTTCTCCCTGGTGCTTTAATAGTGAGCTTGCATGCAAATACTTGCTTCTCTGTGACTGAGGCCTATGCTGCTTTGGGCCAAAATTGATTGCTGAAGTTACATGGCTGAAATGTCTCAGGTAAAAAAAAAAATCAACCCCCAGAAAAAAGTCACTAAAAGTAAAGCATCCAGTAGACAGCTATGTAAAGTGTGCAGCCTGACAGTCACTAATGCTCCCAAGATGGAGGAAGTTCTGCAAATAAGGTGAGTAGAATTAACACTCACTTACCCCTTAAATATCAAAAAGGCTGCCAGGCACGCCTCTGACAGCATTTGGGGGTGATCATGATTACAAATCACCTGCTGCATAAGCATATGTGGTCAGATGCTTTCTCTTCCTTAGTGTAACTGCTCTTCAGCTCATATTACGAACCTGCTCAGTCATACTTCATACCATTTCAGAACATGATGACCATGTGCTGTGTAAAGTCCATTCTCCTTTACAGTTCAGATCTCTCTGCTGACATAAACTGTCACTGCTCTACTGGAGTTGGTGGAGTCCTAAGGTTTTACACCAGCTGAGGTCACACATGTTTATGAAGTCAATCAATAAAGATGGCGACAATGTAAATCCAAGGATATGCTGATTAAATAGTAGTTTAAATTTGTTTAATACGTGCCAAGATACATACTGCCACTCTCATTTCTGTAAAACACTGAGGTTTAGGTTCTGACGTAGAGCATGTTGAAATCAAGGGGGTTTTCAGTTAACCTCTGGGGGCTTTGGCTCAGAACCACAGTCCAACCATTGTGAAATACACAGTTTATTTCTAGCCCTTTGTTAAATGTATTCCAGACGTATTTGCCCTTATTTAGCTCCTAATTCTGTTTGCTTTCCCATATTTTCTCTTTGAAGAAAAAAAAATTCAGACGAGAAAGCAGGATTGCAAGTGTCTCTGAAGGGGATGTCATACAGTCAGTCACCCATTTACTAGCTCAGCAGTACAAAAACTGACTTATGTCTCCCTTTTTCAGTTTGCATTGTCCTTTTCCCACCCTCAAACCTTGCTATCAGCCCCAGCAACTAACTAGTATTAAAGACCTCCTCTTGCTTTTCAAAAGCAGAAAAGAAAAAGCTTTTTTTTTTTTTTCAATTGTCCCAGTTTAGTCCCTGAGTCTCAATGGGGT